AACCAAGTAAGCTTCCTATAAATTTTTTATCTCATTAATTTCAGAGATTAGAATAGTCAATTGCTATTGTTATCTGTTATAATTAGTTTTGTTCTGGCCAGCTGAATCCATTGACTAAGTCTCACCTTTCTATTCTTAGCCAAAGAGAAAAGCAGAGTGATAGAATGTGTTGCCCTGTGAATAAAGGAAGATAGAACCCAGATTTTTCAAATATTTCAGATTTTTCATCTGCATGCTTTAGTTGCTCATTCACTTGCACATTAATTTTATATAGGTAAACTGCCAGTCTGTTTGTTTGCTGAACAGACAGCAATAGAAATATGGGTAGTGTATAGGGAACTGTGGAGTCCTTTCTGGCCCTCCATTCTCCTTAATATCTCTTGGAAGAGCTGATTCCCAAAGTTATCTTTCCCACAGTGGAAATTTTTTCATCCAGATTTCTTGCAGGTTGTTTCTTTGGCCTAAGCAGTTTCCAYTGGCACACATTGCTGAAATGAGAACTTTGAAATGGCCTCAGAATAAACACAGAATTTTGGTTTCTTCTCTAGCTATACWGATGTAGAAGAGCCTGATCTCCTCACTGAGTTCAGAGTAGGGACAATATTAGAACAAATCACTCCAAAGTTCATGATGTACACTTATTTCTCACAAGGATAGACAGTATAGGACATTATTCTTGGTAGTTGATTTCATCCCCTGGAAACTTGACAGAAGTCAATCACCCACCTGAGAAAACTTTCTCGTCAGAGACATCTGACCAGAGCTTCTCTCAAGATACTAATCTGCTGTTGATCTAACAGCGTATTCCTTTCTTCCTCCTGTATTTACTTGGCCTACATAGTTCCTGTTTCAGTACTCAATTAGTTATGTCTCTGTCCTGCTTTRGTTGGGCCTTGCCTGCAGCGTTTTAGAGTCTAGTTAATCCAGTTCACAAAACTTCTGGAAGCAACTAACTGCCTTACTAAGTTGCTCCTTTTTATGTTTCTGTCCCTTAAGTGTGCTGCAGTGCTAGCAGTTTCCAGAATTCAGATCTCGAACATTAAGTTCCTCTTGGATCCTATTTGACATTTTCCTGCGAGTAGATAAGTGTTCTCTTCAGGTCGCATCCATTAGTGTCTTTTTTCTGTGACGTAGATGCGTATTTCTTTTACACTAACAAATGCAATTGTGTCTCAAGACCTGTGTTCAGTGCCTTGTTTGTGTGTCAAGTAGTCCTTCAGGTAGTGACTCAGCATGCACTGTCCATACCTAGGTGGTTAATAAGGACAGAATAATAAGTACTTCAGCCAGGAACCTCTTGTGCTAGAGAGGATGAACATTACTCGCTCAAGAGTCTGTTCTAGTGTTGCATGCACACAGGAAGGGAAATTTTTTTTTTAATATTCTTTTCCTACATTGTCCTTAAATACCACCTAACCAACTGTTTTAAATCCATAGGTAGAATCTCTGGCTACATCCTGCCCAGAAGATCTGCAAAAAGGAAATGTACTAGCCTGGCCAGATTTCCTTCCAGGAGTTGTTGGAAGAGTGAAGATAGACTACAAGAGTATATTTTGTGCTGGTTAGAACTTTATTTCCTAGAACTCATTTTTTTCTGAACAATACTATAAGACTCTTTTATGGGGTCAACTATGCTAGCTTGCAGCCTTTGCCCTGCTAACCTTAAATGAATTATTTTGATAATTTGACAGTTAGAACATGCAGTCCTTCATTCCTTGAATTCCAGGGTTTTGTAACAAAAGTTCATTGAAATCTTTGAAAAAGATTTGTTGCTTCCTGAACTGAGATGGGGAAAGAGTGAAGATGGTACTGGATCGCCAAAAAAATTTCCTGCCTTTTATTATAAGAATAATGTATAGTATTGAAATACCTACTATCTGCTTGCTTCTTTTCCTCCAGATTCCTTTTCTGATTTTATATTCTGATAATTCTCAAACCCCTTTGGACCCAAGTGGGATGTAGCAGGTGTAACATTTCCCAAAGCTTTTTCCTGGATTCACTTATACAGTATCAAACAATCACATAACCAATTTATTCATTCTAGCACATAGCTGCATCTCTTACTGTATGCATGTATTTTGTCCACAGACTGTCCATCTTTGCAAGGATCCATACCACACCTGCGGGCCTCTTCTGCTGATATAAAGCCAGGTTCAAAAGTGAGCCTTTCCTGTGACCCGGGATTCCAGATAGTGGGAAACTCTGTTCAACACTGCCTTAACCTAGGACAGTGGACACGACCTTTTCCCCGCTGTGAAAGTGAGTTGTCTCAGTGGATTGGCAGGGTTAGGAAACCCTAGTTTTTAATTGGGTCCTGTCACTTTTCATGGCTTGTTTATTTCTGCATCTGTCATCACKTCAATACATCCATGTTACATAAGTGTTTTCATATATGCTTAAAATTAAATTCATGTTTTGCTGAGCCGAAGTTATACCATAATCAGGTTCTTACATGGCTTTCTAAAGTCAGTTTCTAAAGCACATCAGAGTGGTTAGTCCATTTGGGTCACCMATACAGTATTTTCCTCCCCAGTGGTATTAGGACTGTGGAAGATGCACAGGAAATGCTAGGACATCTCTGTGGTTTTTAAATGTCATGAGAATGTCTGGTTTGAAGTAGAAGCCTTGACTTTAGTAACTTATGAACTCATTTCTTTAAAGGCGGCAGATATTTGTGTTAGRGCTTGGAAGTACTCCAAGATTTACAGGATTTCTTCAATGAAACTGAGCTGTATGTATTCAGGCTGCCAAGTTTCTTTTGATTCTGTGATTCCTGCTCCTATCACCTCCTTTCCTTTGGTCYTTCTCTGCTGTGACTGCGCATTTGACTGCAGTTGCTTGTTTTGGAGCTGATTACTTTTTTCATTTCAGCAGAATAGTTAATTAGTTCCAGAAGTAGATATTGCATAATCCCAGAATTTATATGTAGTTTGGAGAAAATCATCGAAATTGTTAAAAATGCCTTTAAAATAGTTTGATCTAGATTTGWTGTGATTTTGATGTCTTCTTCTTTATTCAGTTGTTTGTAGCACAAGTCCATAKTCTGTCCCATCTCCTCTATAATGAATAGCATGCCTGTGAGGATTTGGCTTTTTTTTTATTGTTGTTGGAATAAGTTCATGTGTCTTTGATTGAGATAAAGATACACAGAAGCAGCTATGCTAGAATAAATAAAAAAACCTCCAGCAGGCAAGTACAGGGATGCCTTCTGCTGGCACCACTGGGATCAGATGGGCTTATTTACTACAGTTGCTCGAAGTGATGCCCGGGGTTGTGTGTGAGGTCAGTTCCAATCTCTCCACCATTCAAGGACTTCCTGGTGCCAGGCCAGTACTATAACTCTTAGCAGTATCTGTTAGCTACCTTTTCAATGTTTAAACACAGTAACACTGAGCTTGCTTTTCAGCAAAGGGAAATAACAGCAACTTCCAGGAAGGCAAACTCAGTTTTTCCTTTTCTTTATAATTCACCAAGTATCATTGCTTATTGGAAGCGTTCTGTGACTGAAGGGAATCTGCTCAGATCCCAGTCACACATGTCTCCTCCAGAGCTAGCAAAATTTTCTTAGCAGGAGCTAGGTAGTCCTGCTGAGTCTTTTATTGACAACTGCCCATGAAAAAAAGACCCTTCATTAGGCATGGCATCAATARGCTACTTCAGAAAAGGACTGGGCCCTCTTGCTAATGGGATTGCACAGCTGCAGAGATAAAATATGCGGTAGTGCTTCTCATGTGGAATTACTCTGATGATGATCTGTGTTTGCTCTGCTAATGCCTGTGCCCTCTTTTCACCCATGTTGCAGGAATCAGCTGTGGAGTGCCTCCAACTTTAGAAAATGGATTTTATTCCGCTGAAGACTTTTTTGCTGGTAGTACTGTTACCTATCACTGCAACAGCGGCTACTATTTGTTGGGCGACTCCAGAATGCTGTGCCTGGACAATGGAAGCTGGAACAGCATTTCACCATCTTGTCTTGGTAAGATGTGCCATACATTTGGCAGCATGGACARCCTTACACTTCTCCTGTGCCCTTGAGTGGAAGTTCATTCTGAAATTGTGGAGGCTGACCACAGTAGCAGAATCATAATCAAAAATATTCATTTTTCAAAAATACCATGTTCAGCATTATGTAAAACCAAAACCAYGTCCTGTCACCTTTCTCTGTCCATCCTCTTGCATGCCCCACACTCTGCGTTTATCAAACATACATAAAATTATATATGTCATAGGTCTGTCTGTATTGCAGTCCCAGCTTTTTCCTTTCATGTCCTCCCATCCTTGCTTTCTGTGCTTTTGATCTGTGCATTTTGTTGTGCATCAGCATGCTGTCAGTGTCTCATGCTCTCTGATCAAGTTCTTTTAGATGTTTCACACATGGAAATTGTAGTATTTAATATGAGATTTACTCACCTGAAGACAGTTGATGTTGCACAGGATTTCTGATCGAAGTGATACAAAATGTGCTACCTAACACGGTAGAAACAAACTCAAGCTACTTAACAAAATATAGAAATTGCAATACACCGTTTAAGCACAATTCTGATTTGTTTCCCCTATCAAGCTCTATAATATATTCACTGTCATGACATTGCACATCCCCAATAGCTGGGAATGGATGTGTGGGTTAAGATCAGCYCAAGCCCATTGCTAGTTTTCTGACATTTCTACTTCATATAGACCTGAGCTACACATTCAGTTCCRCCCCTCCACCCTGGTCTAACTCAGAAAGACATTCACACACTTTAATGAACTTTAAGCTTTAAAGAGAAGCATTTACATTGCCAGTTCATCCACTCAACTGTTAACTGCTTTTTAGCTAAAAGAAAGGACACCTTACTGCCTCCTTATTCCTGAAACTTCTAGGCAGATCACCTTTGCCATATTTTCCTAGCTTTTTTCCGTGTTGGGGTTTTTTTTTTTGGTCAGTCACACATGCCTGCCAGCAAGCAGCTGCAACATTGGGTGGGCACTTACGGACACAACTCCCCACCATAACTCACGTGCCAGTCAGCTGGGTCCGATGCACCATATGCAGTGGCACAAGCTGAAAGATGAGACAGGCTGGCATTGTACTGTGTACAGAGGACTAGGTGTCACTGGTCTTGCAGGGCCACGTCTCCAGAAGACCTGTGTTGGTATCCACTAGCTAGTTGTACTTGGATCGCTGCCCTCTTAGTCGTGCCTAAAATGGGAGTTGTATGGTAAAAAACTGGCAAGATTTATGTTTGATTTGACTCTTGATTCTATGTAGGTATAGCATGTAATTTTTTCGGTCAAGACAAGCAAAAGAATAGCCAACAGTGTTTTAGCTCTGCCAAAATTCATTTTGGAGCAGGATCCATCTGGTTTCATAGCATCCAGTCCACCAGCACTCCTTCAGAACATACAAACATCATCACAGGTGTTTCAAGGCTGTCCAAATAGTTCAACCTCTATGTAGTAGGAGTCATGAAGTTCAAAAGCAAAAGACCTGTGCCCCACCTTCCAGCTTGCCTTGTCTCTTGTAAAGCAGAGTAATGGGARAATGAAAACAGGAGTGGCTTTGGCACCCTGACTGACCATTTACGTCTCTGACTCAGGCTACAGGCAGGTGCTAACGAAGCCTGATACACCTATGCCCTGAAGCATGCCTTTTGTTCTGCTACGGGTCTGAGTCACAGTGTACTTCCACCTCATTGGAAGTCTCTTGCCTAACAAGACATTACAGAAGTAGTCATTCCAGTTTTGCTGTGGTAGCACTTCACTTTCTCCTGGTACTTGTGTAATTGGCAACTGGTTTGGTATTAATGTGCAGTTGTCATCCTGCCTGTCACAAAGAAGTTGTTCTTTTCAATGTGATCGCACTCATTCAGCAGTAAAGAATAAATCCTCCGACTCAGGAAATTGTCTTGCTCTTTTAACCAGTTGGGTTTTTTCTTTTTTTGCTGGAAATGGGCAAAGAACCCAAGCTGTGTGTCTGCATGGTATACCTAGATCAGCAGGTGGCCTGCAGCAGGACATTTAGGTGAAGAATTGTTCTACCTCTAACAGTCTGAAAAAGCACATTTATAAGGAGAATAATCCCTGATGCCAGCATTTTTCAGTTAGATACTTTGAAATTGACCCTTTGCAATTTTGACTCATTGTTTATACACCAAGTACATTTTCTTACTGTCAAGATTGAAAGAGGCTAGGCAGTACCCTGGAGTAAATGATTTCTTTTCTTCTTTCTGGATGGTACCAAACTGTATGGATCATAAATTATCAATAGGGATTTTTAGGCACTACTATTATGTAAAGGGTTAATTATAATTATTAATATATTTTTAAGTAGTTTTAACTTCTCTTGCAACCGCAGCCATTTCTCATGCCTACTCTAATGCTCTTCCACAAAGATRGGGCTCTAATATTTTCAGAGCATTTCCCATCTTGGCTATGTTTTCCTGTCTCATAAGTAGGGAGGTTGAGATATARAGAATTTTCCAAGCAGGAGTTTATTGTAAAAATCCTTCCTCCTAGTGTCTGCCCAGATTAGTAGTACYGATAATTACAGTATCTGTTCTTCTACTTTTTGTGGAAGTATTGACTGAAGGTTAATAAGATTTATCTCTGATTTTCACATGTTTTGCAATGCTGTATAGTAAGTTATAATTAAAATTATAAAGTAACTTTACAGTAAGTTATAAATACTTGTTTGAATATTAAATGTTTTTACCAATGGATCAAAATGATTGCAGTAAGAGTGACTTTAATTATACTTCTTAAAGTAATTTCTTCTTGACAGTTAGTAAGACTGAAATTTAAAGCAAATGCTTGCTACAATTAACACACTAGAGGCATGCTTTTTGTGGTTTTTCTTTGTTTCGTTTTTTGCAGATGTTGATGAATGCGCTGTTGGCTCAGACTGCGATGAGCATGCATCTTGTCTCAACACAAATGGATCCTATGTTTGCACTTGCATCCCTCCTTACACAGGAGATGGTAAAAAATGTGCAGGTATGGGAAAGTAAAGTATCAAGCTAGCCTTTCCAAGGTTCTGTGTAGGTCAGTGTTCTGCCTCCCACTGTGGAAAACAGCTGCCTGTGATTGATATTCTAGGACAGGCATCCTCTCATCTCCAGGTCAGTGTGGTCTGGATGAGGCTGTGATGAAGCATTTCCTTTTGTTTCTGGAGAACTCACCACTCCATATGGATACAGCTGTCCATGGGATGCTGCTCCAAAACATACACACATCCAAAATCCTCTTGCACCCAGGGCACAAGACCTGTGAACGCCACAAGTGGGTCACTTCTCAGATTAGATCTTTGCAGTAGAGAAGTGTTTTAATGCAGGCATCTGAGTAGGGCTAGAGCTGCCTGTGGAAACATTAAACAAGGTAACTTTGGATGAGGATAGCAAGACAGTGGCATAGGTTAGGATAAAAAGGTAGCTGAGTTGTTTTCTCATTCAGGGGTGGRCATGCTGGAATGAGCTTTCCCTCACAGAGGGAAAAACGACTGGAAGATATGTTTGCTTCTGACAATGAATGCAAACTCCATTGCAGAGAGCTCTTCCATGTCAAGATTAGGTTGCTTGCATGAGTCTTCAGTGTCTGTCACTTACGTGTAAAACAGAGAAAAGGATGTAAACTCATTATGAGTGTTTTCCATGTTCTTTGCCTTCCTACTTTCAGCAAATTCCCAAGGACAGCTCCTGCAACTTGTTTATAAAACCTGACACTTAATTATATTATTTGTAGTTTCCCTCTTCCTCCTCAGAACCTGTGAAATGCCATAATCCAGGAAATCCAGAGCATGGCCGTTTATATGGGGATACTTACAGTGTTGGCAGTGAAGTAACATTTTCCTGTGAAGAAGGGTTCCAGCTGACAGGAGCAACAAAACTTACTTGCATGGAGTCTGGAGAGTGGAGCCACCCAAAACCCTATTGTGAAGGTGTGGTTCCTGGGGAGAATGCATGTTGAAATGTGACTTTAACATTAGAGAGATGAAAGGGGCAAATAGTGAAGAGCCTTTAGAGACTGTGGCAGCTCATGTAACCCTGCCCTAGCAGATCTGTATCTCAGTGTTGAAGTCTTTGTTTTCTTAAGACATAAGCACAGTTGTCATATTTGCAATGCTACTTTCTTACAGAGATTYTCCAGTGCGTCAGAGGTAGAGACTCAGTCTAATGCAAGCATTAGAAGTGTATTTCTCCTCCACCCAGCTTTCCATTTTCAATGAATAAATTACTTCAAGACTATTAACTGTGCTTCGGTGGATAAAAAGCAGCTAGAAAGGACAGGCTGATGCACGTACATAGTCGTGGTATAATAGCAGAGTTTGTTTCTTTAGAAAACCAAAACAAATAATGTGAAGCAACAGGTAAAGTGAAGAGTTGACAAAGACTATTGAGAAAAAAAAAAAAAGAACAATTACTTTGTCCGTAGAGGGAGGTAGATATGGAATCCTCTTCACAGTCAAGCATGTGGTTTGTAGAGTGTTTATGACTACCTACAAGCAGTTAGTTCAGTTTCTCAGTAAAGTGAATTCAGGTAAAGAGTCATTTACAGATTAGTGAAGAACTCAGTGTTATGTAGGGCTTTATACTTCTTCAAATTTATTCAGAGAAAACAAAGCAAATCCTGATTTTCTGTTCATTTTTGTTTGTGTTATATCAACCTCTCTTGTATTCCTGTCTTTTTAAAGCTATATCCTGTGGTGCTCCAGTTATTCCAGAGAACAGTGCCATTTTTGGCTCAAATTTTACATACCATAATAAGGTGGTGTACAGGTAGGAATTCAGTATGTTTGAAGTGCTGTATTAATAACTGATTGACAATCTGGCAGCAAATAAAAGTATGGCTGAATTGAGAGATTGATTGAAGTGAAGGAGAGGAGCAAGATGGGATTAAAATAATGGAAAGACATTTGTTTATAGATGTGGCTGTTCATTAGCAGAGCTGGATGTTTACTCCAGTACTACTTCTCTATGCCCTGAAAAGAAAGATGGTTTATGCAGGTGTGGATGCTGAAAAAAAAAGGGATGGCTGATTATGTTATGCATGAAAGGCTCTGTGTTTGATAGCACTTCTTTTCTTCTAACACAGATGCAATGATGGATACAACTTAGTGGGTGAAAGGGAAATTCTGTGCCTTGCTAGTGGCGCTTGGAGTCATGCTCCCCCCTCCTGTGAAATGGTGATGTGCCCTAGCCCACAGGATATCAGAAATGGAAGATACACRCTGAGTGGCACAGCCTACCTTTCCTCTGTATCATACACCTGTGACAATGGATACAGGTAAATGCACGGACTTTCCTGGGCCAGATACAGGTGGCATTCTTGCTAGAAGGTCTGACTTATACCTGAAAGAGACAAAGCTGGGATCATTGCTCAGAAATATAAAATAATAATAAAATACTAAAACAGAATTGAAAAATACTTCTTTCTGTCTTGAAGGTACTTCCTGTGTTTTATCCTGCACCAGAGCACTTCAGAGAAGTCACTCAGGATTTGCTATATACATATGTAATGCTTTCATTTTACCATCAAACTTATAAAAATATTTTGGATGTTCTGATGGTTTTCATTTGCCTTTAAAGATCATAATACCTCTACAACTGGTATTCATATCCAATATTATTTTTGCTATTGCTTTACAATGCCCTTTGGGAAGGAACTTTCTGGAAGTTTCTAATTTACTCTTTGTACTAGTAATTTATTCTAAGGTTTTGTTCTGTTTTACATTTGTAAGCAATTGTACTGGAAACATATTTTTAACATGCTGCAATTAAAAATTAACCTGTTAATGCTACATCCAAGGATGTGGCTGTACATGCAACTTTCTGCCTCCCCTGATATCTGCTTGTACCTCTAACAAATATACTCTGACATAAGTGGTCTCATATGGAGATCTGTTAGGGATTATTTTTTTTACATTTTCCTGCTGAAAGCATTTCCTTGTCCAGATGCCGGCAAGTAGGTGAGGTATGTTCATTTGGTGAATGTTTTAATTGCGTTAAATGTGTTAAAATGTGTAAAAACAACTTGATACCTCAACTGCAGTTCAGTGTGGTGTTAAGGCATATACGTGCACATCATGGGCTTATCTGCACCCCACTAAACCAGGCAGTGGTTTTACCAAAACCAGTGAGTTTTTTGACTGTGGACACATAGCCAGCAAATACCATGTCAGTTTTGGCTCTTTGCCTCTCTACCACAGTTTGGTGAGAGAGATCCTCTCTGCTGTGGTCGTCACTCCAGAGGAAGCTATCTTATATATTATTTCTGGACCCATTCTCTTCCTTCAAGCACCTCTTAGGTGTTTKTAGCATATTGCCACAGGTAGGCTGTGCCCACTTCCCTGCTTCCCTGCCAAATTTCTAAGGGCATTACAGGTCAGTGTTCTTTCCCATTAACTTACTTTAGTCAGATGAATGTGGGGGTGTAATACAATTTGAGACCAAACTGTGGAGAATCAGATACGCCTGTGTGCTGCTCATAAATACAATGTGGGACCTATAGGGAGCCCACAGGG